TTGCAGTTCTTAGGCCAATCTTCAATTCAAATTCTTTGGAGCAGATTTAATTGACAGCCCTGTCCCTTTCTCCGTTGTATTACAAAAAGAAGCGTACACTTAACACGGATGACCCGTCAGGATGCTTAAACTGTTACAACCAGTTTCCATTAAAAAACTGAGAAGTACATGACACTCAGAAAGGAAGCAAGTACATATTTGCTCTTTGTTGTTTTCCCCCTCTAAAAAAATTGTTACAAAGTCTTATGCTTAAACAGAGACATAGAAAAATCAGTGTATTCACTGCCTCCAGTTATTTACAGCAAAAATTAGAGACAGCATACATTGTATTAGACCTTCCACAAGCATATATTAAAAGTAATTACATTTGAAAAAATATTTTATTTTTCCTCTACATTTCTACAATACATACTCAGTTTTCTGTGGGTGTAGTTTTCATTCTCGTGTGTGTGTGTTAATCAGATGAAGCAGACGGTACCGTGTCTGGATGTGGGATTTGTAGCTCTTCAGACATACCTCACGTGTGTCTACATATGGTAGTGACAGAGGCACGACAGTGCTTACCATCAGCCACAGCCATAAGAGAGTAGTCGAATAAGAGATAAAGTGCTGCTCAGCTGGGGAGCAGACACCCTGTGTTCCTGAACTGGGCTTATTCAATTCCAGTAACCCTTGTGCTTTCGTTTTGGCTGTGAGAATAATCACTGAGCTGCTTTCTCTGATCCACTGGAGGTCATGCTTATGGTCATGCAAGAGGCAAAGATGACCATGGCCCATTCGATTCAGAACAATTTCAATATCATAGGAAAAAAGTGCACAGACAACCCCCACCGGCTGCATAGGAACCTGAGGTCTGCACTCAGAATGTGGGGGGACCACACTATCAATGATTACAGAATAAATTCTTCAGATGCATCCAACTGAGGGAAAGTAAGAACTTGTTGCAGATATTGAAGCCACACAGTGAACCACGCAGGTTGAGACTTGAAAACACGAAAGTCATGCATTTGACTTTTAGAAAAAAAAGTGGCAAGAAAGCTAGCCCCCTGGCTATCCAAGATGGAAATTTGGGCAAGACAAATAGAAGTATCTTTTATTAGCCATTGGTAAGTTGAATTGTCTTCATTTTTATACCAACATTTTGTTCAGCTAACCTCTAACTATATCCTTGAGTAGTGATAGTTCCATATGGAAACTTAACTGAAAGCCAGAAAGGCAAGATCTCTCCTTCTTTCCCTTCCACACTAGTATTATTCTAATGTCATCCTTGGATGAATCTGGCCACATTTTCTACAGATGAATAGGCTGCTAGACTGTGATTTTGATTTAAACCAGAGGTTGCAGCTGGCAGTCTCAGGGGACTCTTCTGTTCCCAGGTATGTTTGTTTGGTCTACACTCTGCATCAACTGCCATTATTTACAACTCAAGACATTTTACAGGACTAGCTCTAGCAATGCTGAGCTTCAGCCTCACAGTGGATGTCCTCTGTTAGGTGGGTTATTTCCTTGCCAGCTTGCTGCTGGACTGCTTCTCTCACTTGCATCCACTCCCTGGTCCTTTTAGGCTTTTGAATTTATAACCTCTGCTTTAAATGGACATGGGCCTGAGACTTGCACCCTCTTACCCGCTAAGAGATTTCAGGTCTTTTCTGAAAGCTTCCCCTGGTTTCCCTTATCAGGCCTTCACTTCTATTTGCTGTTTGTACTAGCAGTTGCCAACATAACATCAGATAGCACTTCATCTAAAACAGATGGACAGCTTTTCCCTCTTCTTTATAAAGGGACTTTGTGCAAAGTTTCACTCCAGATGCATGCTCCATAGTTATTGCTGTTCTATTGACTGGTGCTTCTGTTCAATTATAGACGTTCCTGTCTGAGTTAACTACCTATTGTAGTAACTTCATTGGAAACAACTGTTTAAAGAGAAAAAAAAAAAAAAAGAATCAGGAAGAAATTATTTTCTCTAATTTCCAATAGCAGTAGAATTTTTCTTTGTTTCTTTAATAAACAGAAACAAAGAACATGGAATGACATTGACATTATTTGCCTCTGATTTTTTTTTTCGGGGGGCGGGGATTGTAAGTTTTCTGTTGACCTTGTGACATAAGAATTGTTTTTGCTCTCAGGCCAGGTACACGTAACAGGGTAGAGTGAATGTGCACTGCCTCTCCATCTGCCTGGTTCTCTACAGTTTAGTTGGACTGTTGGAAGTTAGGGGTTGAACCAGGCAGCCACAAAGGAAATAACACTGATATCTCTCTCACATGTCTTGTTGACATACAGAGTTCATTACAATTTAGGGTCTCTTAGATTCTGCCAAAGACATCTACTTACCCCAGAGATCATGATATTCCTCTTTGTACCTATCCAGAACCCTGAAGACAGTGTTAAGACAAGGGAAATCCAGAAGAGCATTTTTACAGTACATCTCTTCCCTCAGATTTTAATCTTTGAGAATAAAAGAGCCGCAGAAAAGGGGCTATTGCAATGATGCAAGTTGTCATGTGGGAAGTGAAAGCAGATTTGGAACTTCTTCTTCTCTTCTTCTTCTTCTGCTTCTTCTTCTTTTTTTAATTTTTAGAACTGGGAATTGAACCCAGGGATGCTTAACCACTGAGTCACATCCTCAGCCCTTTTTATTTTGAAACAGTGTCTCACTAAGTTGCTTAGGGCCTCACTTGTAATCCTCCTGCCTCAGCCTCCCGAGCCACTGGGATTATAGGCATGCACCACTGTGCCAGGCTTCTCTTATTTTCCTTTCAAAATTTGCTCTTTCTTCTATGGACACAGATACACTGGCACTCAAATCTGCACAGCTTTACTTCCCTTGTCAATGTCATCCAATGCCAGTTAGATTCCCTTCTTTTTCTTGCTTAGGATTTGCATAGGAAGCTTGGATTTTCTGGGGCATATCTACTCCTAAAAATGGAGCACCTGATTATTTGACTCTTAGAAGATTTTAGAAAATAAAAGTAAGTTTTCCTTATTCATCTGCAATTTTTAGGTAAGTCCAAATAATAGAGGCCAGTTCAGTTTATGACATGAAATAATTACACATGGGTCTGAAAGCCTTGTCAGAGACGTTCTCTCACTGGCATATTTAATTTGTGCCATTGAAATTTTGTTGTCATTTTCCTGTTTTTTCCCCTCCTTCTTGATGTAATATATATTTTTTATTATTTTATTTTTTAAATGAAACATCCCTGAGCAGAGACAGTGCAACATCTGCAGTGATTGTCGCTTACGAAGCACGAAGTGAGGAGTACAGACTATGGATTCCTTCTTCCATTGCACACCTTATCAGGAGTGTGTTTGTTAGTTCCCAGGGGGAAAGGACAAAGTGCTGGGATTGTATGTTGTAAAGAAAGTTGTTCTTAACCAAATTTTCAAAATATCTTGACATGTAGTCATAAGAGATGTTCAAAGGGCAGCTTTTTTAAGGCTTTGTTACTATGAAAAACATGACTTGATTCTCCTGTCAGGGGAAATTTGGCAACTGTAGCCAAAACTGAAAATCTCTTTTCTCAACTGAAGTGGGCTGAGCTTGTAGTGGTTGGTTTCCATTGCATTGTTCTGGTTCAGTTGCTAGCTCTGTTTCCTGTGTCCCTGGCTTCAAAAAGTTCGTGCAGTCCCAATGAAATGCTTGCACTAGTGGAAATGACACAAAATCAAAACCAGTATCTCCCGAGACAAATGCGGGGAACAATCTTTTTTCCTACACCACCCATGGGACAAGGGAGGAAAAAATTCTCAGCTACTTCATCAATTGAGCCAATTTAAATCCTCTAAGGTAAACTGGAGGCAACGAATGATTCCCTTTGCAACAGAGCAGGAATTACAGGCTGCCAATGGGAAGCACTAGGCCAACAGAACAATGAAAACAAAGTTTGACATAAGTTCAAAGCTCAAAGGGAAACACCAAGTAGACACATTAAGCATCGCCTATCACAAGCCAATCATAAAACATACATTGCATTTGGAAACGGCTTGGTTTAATTGAGCGCCTTCCATTACCCTGCTTTCCTAGCAATCAGTAAAGTAATCTTTCCATTAGAAGGAAATATGACTCTTGGAATTAATTCTTTATACAAAGAGCTAGCAGGAGTGACATTTATACCAAAAAGAATTGAGTCCCTGTAGCAGCATAATAAGCAGTCTACAGCTGTCTTCTTAAACCAAAGGTAATTTGGTTCAATGTAGTTAAATTAATTGAATATAACTAGTCGAGAAAGAGATTCATTATTTTAAAGCCTTTTTGTTTTTCCCCATTGGTTTGGAATTCATCAATCATGAGGTAAGAAAAGCCTTCGTTTTCTAAAAGGAAAAGACTAACACTACTGTTTTGATCACCAATCAGGAATTCTGAGGCAACATGGAGATGGCACTCGACCATGAACTTTAGGAGATCATAGGAAATGAAAAACAGTCAAGGTCCCCATGATTTGAAATTTACAAAGCAGGTGTGTGTGTGTGTGTGTGTGTGTGAGAGAGAGAGAGAGAGAGAGAAAGGAGGGGGGAGCGCTGTGTGTTTGATAAGGGAAAAATGGCAGGTCTTTATGCACAGTCTGGCCTACACTTAAGGAGATTGTAATTTTCACTGTCTTAATGTAAATTTCTCTCATAGTTTCCATTTTTAACAATCTTACTTTGGCTCAGATAATACCAAAGACATAGGCCTCAGGGACATGGACAAAACAAATGTCTTGGAATTTATGCTTAATTTTACCTGAGAGATGAGAACTTATACAAGAATGCCCAAATTCTCTGATTTTGATGTCACTCTTGCATTCTGTAAGTTTAAGGGTTCCTAAAAATATAATCTAGGATGGATGGATAATGCAATTTCAAACTGCAGAGAAAGTAGTTGTGGCATTGGGTATATTCCTTCCATAGAATAAATATATATTTTTCAATCTGTCAAGTTTTTGCTATATTTTAATAATACAGTGTTTTGGAGTTGAAGAAAATTAGAAGCCCCAGGCTAGAATGACATAGAAAGCTCTGCCTCCCCCATTTTATTGTTGTTTTTTCTAACAAATACATAAGGATGAATATCAAGAAATACTTTTTAACCTTGTATGTTCTACTTCTGCCTCTTTGTCAAAAAATGATTAGAGAGAAAATGTTTACCCCAAATGGCGATGGACACTGGGAACTGGTTTACTTTTTTTACTGTTATTTTTCTAGAGCAAATGGCTGGTGGTAATAATGCACAGACCGTATTGGTTGAAGACACTGAGCACCAAAATCAAGTTTTTGTCACAACCAGAAATCCAAACCCTAAGAAAAACAGTGTTTTATATGTTCTGGTATAAAACAGGAAATGTCTAATTGTTTGGTCAAAAAGCATCCCATGCCTTTCAATATTATCTGCAGCCCAATTCTCAAAACAGGAAAATGGCTCCAAAGTCTTTCCCCCAACTCAGTATGGGACCATCTTGACAAGGCTTTGATGTCACTGATAGAAATAAGAGTTTTTATACAGAGGCTGTGCATTACATGGATTTCTTTGTAGACTTATTTCTGAGCTGGTACCGATCTGCTGTTGACTATAGATGAAAACTCTGGCTGAAAAAACAAAACCCTGATTGTCTAACATAAAAGTAACACATAACACAGAAGGTAAATAATATAAGAGAGTCTGATTGAACCTCCCTTGCTAGTAGGTATGGTATTTTAAGCCACAGTGCGTGTGCATGTATAAGTAATAGTCATATATAATATTCCACATATTATATAGTTATTACATACATGCACAGTACTTTCCAAGACAGCTACAAATTTACACATGCATCAACTATCTAAAAACATAGAAATAGATAAGCCTATTAAGTGGAATTTTCTTAAATTATATTTGAACAATCAACAGGAAAAGTAATCATGTAAAGTACCGCTCTGTTCTTGTATATATCTACAATAAAATTCTATAAACAGTTGTCTCCAAAACATACCCGAATAAAATTAAAAAAAAAAAAGATAACACCCGGTGTCCTATATTTGTATATTTATGGTCATTTCAAAACAAACAAACAAAAGAGCCCCACTCAGGTGCATATTTACATTCTTCAAACTGTAGCGGTGAAAAATAACTCTATGAAGTGCAGGACATTCCTAATGTTGCAGTAGTGACATTTTTCTTAAGTCTTCATGAACACATTGCTTTCGTCTTAATGGTGGTGTACTCCACGACTGTGAGCCAGTTCTCTCGTCCCCTTCATTTGCAGACGGTGGCACAGTCAGGGTTAAAGAGCTCCTTGTATAATGGAGGAAACAGTGTATTCACTATGTCAGGATGAGATTGCTTAAATACCTGCAGCTTCTCCCCGTGCAAGTTGCAAACTGCCGTGATGGTTGGTATCTTGGCTATTAACTGCAGAATGGAGAAACAGGGAGGGAGACAAAGAGAGAACTCATTAGTGCTCTGTCTTCTCAGTCTTTCCTAGCCCCAGAAAAAGGTAAATGGCTTTGGAAAAAGATGTTCAGAAAGAATGAACGCTCACTTTCCGCTTCTCTTTAGAACAAAACAAAACTACACCTCTCTTCGCATCTCCTAAGGAAAAATTAAGAGAAGAAAAGAAAGCAGGGCCAAGCTTCCTGATTCACTGTTTGAAAATAAAGAATGTATGGGAAATCGTCTGCTTTAGTAGTTAGGAGTGGGTGCTGTGCAGACGGGATGCCTGAATGGAAATCCTGCTTCCAAAATAGCCTAATGATACTGTGGCTGTGACATAATTCTGTCTCAGTTTTCGCTGTTGTAAAATGGGCTTACTAATGGTGTCTACTTTGTTAGGTTCTTGGGGGGACTGAACAAGTTAATTCTTAAAAAAGTGTTAAGAATGCTGTAGGTGCAGAACATAATTATTAGATAATACTGTTATCATCTCTCAACTCCTACATACTTGTACGACATGAATATTAGATGTTTTGCTGTAGAAGGTGATAATGTTAGGTAAGTTTGACAAACGGTGTGAGGTAAATCCATAATTATCTGTACTGCTGACTCTCCAACTCTCTAAACTTACCTGTGCCTCTCTAATCCCTTTCTATTATAAGGAATAAAATGAAACCTATGCCTAATCAAGAAAGATTGTGGGAGGTCACTGGCATTTAGCAACTTTAGGGAGGTATTTAAAAATGAGTGGGAGAATATTCACTTGAAATTGCTAGATTTTGATGTATAGGTCTCGTGTAGGATGTAACTTTTTGAGTTAAACTACCCCTAAGACAATGTTTTATAACCATTTAGAAGGTCTATAGTTTGTTAAATGCTGGGCAGGTCTAAGGAGATGAGCAATTCTAGCTTTTAACATCCTGCATGTTAGGAGCACATCAAATCTATCCTTTAGTGTCAAATTAGCTTAAACAAATGTCCTCATGGTCATATTACCGTGAGGAATGAGGTATGTTCTTCTATACAGACCACTCTATAAGTGTGATGGTTTATATAGCTGACTAAGATACCCTTGAAAATGATGATGATAAAATACAATTAAATAAAACCAATCTTATCACCAATTAAGCTCATTGCACTTCCTGTCCCATTAAATGACAAAAATCCATTTCAGCCTTTGAAGTAAAAGAGGAAATAATTACTTTATGGTTTTTCAACATTAGAAAATTGCACTCTTTCATTAATGTTCCTTTTAACAACTAATGACTGACTAAGCATACTATGAACAATTTTAAAATGGCGTTGGGATTAAAGCTGTTGATACACTAAAAGGATCGAGAATCCATAAAGATGTTTGGGGGTTCAGACTTTCCAACCTAGCCATCTCCACTTCTCTTTAAAAAGGGATACAAATGAAAACTGTGGAATCTTTGTCTACAGAATGGATGTGAAACTTTTGATTGAGAATGCAGACTTTCTTTCCAACATTATGAATTACATTTTTTCATTCATGATACTCCACAGCGATTAATTGCATGTTTACTATGTGACAGGTCTTCAGTTACACACCAGAATGCACAAAATAGTTATGGTTCTTGTTTGTAGTCTACTTGTGAAGACAGATGGGAATAAAGTTACCACACTGTCAAACGCAGATGGAAAAACTGTGGAGCGCTGTAGAAGAACGGCGGCATGGCGGTGGATAATAGGACGCTCTCCCTTCTTGTGGCAGACCCAGGGAATGCTGCCCTGAGAAGGTGACTGTGGATCTGAGCTCTGAAGGAACAGTGAGAGCTAAGTAGGTGATGGGGAGGAGACACATAATATACCCCCAAATCACAGGCAAAGATGCTGTGGCACTTAGTGCCTTGGAAGAAGTGAGGGCAGCTCAGGGTCGTTGCAGCAGGAGGTGAGCATGTTTGGGGATAAAGATGGAGAGATGCACATGGCCACATTATGGAAGCCCTCATGGTCTATGTTGTAGTCTTTGAAAGAGTTTTAAGTAAAAATAAAGATAATCAGAAGCCCATTCTGCAATCTCACATTGAGACCGTGGTGGAAAACTTTATTTTCTAGAGTGTGAGGGTGTCCACTTAACTGAGTCCCTTGGGAAATCATTCAAGCTCTCTTAACCAGCTGGCTCACCCAGAAGGAAACTGCAACAATTTAGGAACACTTCCTGCACATTACAATTCTCCCTGAAATAGCTATTGAATGCAGAGAGGCTTTGAAAGCTTTCTATAGTCGTCTACTATTGAATTGATGTGCAGAGCTCCTGAAACTTTCAGATGCAACTCTATAATGACTGTCAATCTTTAGTGTGCCTAAGAATCACCGGGGTGCTTCCTAAAAAGGCAGATTGCTGGGATCTACTCCTTGGGGATTCGGTATCAGTAAGTCTGGGTAGCACTCAGATTCACGTTTGACACAAATATTCTCCACAAAACTCATGTCTATGGAACAGACTTTGAGCAACACTGCTTTAGTTGTTTGTATCTTATAAATCTACAACTGGCTTTCAAAACTGGAAAGTAAACTCTGTATTGTATTTTAAACAGTCCTGGTAGTTGAGTGTCAATCTCTTTTTCAGAAGGCAGACGATGACATTATTATAATCTAGAAAGAGAAAGTTGAGGGTTGGTGATGTAATTCAGTGGTAGAACACTTGTCTAGCATGTGTAAGGCCCTCGGTTCAATCCTCAGCACCAACCCTACCCCCCAAAAAAAGGAGAGAGGGAAGATTGCATTCTCCAAGTTCTATTATATGCCCTGGGACAAGTAATGAACTTCTAGAGTTTTCCCTGTGACACACAAAGAGAAGTAGTCTAGGATAAAGAACATGGGTTTTCAAGTCAGACTGGATTCGGATACTAGTTCTGCCATTTACAGTTATATGACTTTGGGTGAGTCACTTAACCTCTCAATTATCTTATTGGTCAAATTCTGATTGTAACATTACCTCCCTCAGAGGGATATTGAAGGATTTAATGAACCAACACATAAGTTTTCCAGTGGTGCCTGGCACATAGTGGTGTCACACACAAGCAACTGCCATGCTTCCATTCCTACAGAATCCTTCTTTCAAGGAGAGAAATCGCCAAGGCCATCTAATTCAGTCAAATAACTCAGAGGGGCAGGAAACCAACTTAGCCCTAACCAACCTCTAAAAATCGAGTCTTTGTCTATTATGTGTTAGTGCATGGGGAAATCAGCTACTTACTTCTATAAAAATGAAAAAGCAAAATCATATTGATTTTCCATTTTCTTATAGCAATAAAACAAGTTGCTCATTTTATTAACTGTGATTTATAAAGAAGAATCCTATGTACTATAGTTCTTCAAGCATTTTTCTTCTCCTTTAATGAAGGGAAGGTATGAGAAATTAAATGCAAAAGAGGATGACTGAGATTCTTCAGCGATTGCTCTTTTGACTGGAAATATGTAACAGTGTGTTTCACTTTGGAAAGTGAATATTGGACTCTTGCCCCTTTATGCTAAAAGTTGGTGTCTTGAAACAATGATGAGATAATTTCCAAGCACATATCTGATGTTTCCATGTGGAATTTAAATACTGAGTTTCCTTGGGGCAGGGGGAGCTGCTGTCTCGGAAGAGCCTGGTTCTGCCATTTTTTATGGGTTTTGGATCCCGTCCCTTTTGTTCATCTGTAGAATGGGTCGAATGGTCAAAGAGCACCTGGACAATTTCAGCAAGGTGCGCTGAAAAAGCAAAACTTCCTCAACCTCTGCAGTACCAGAAGAGGCTGGTTGAGAGACATCCAATCAGCTGCAGGTACAGAAGTGCTGATAGTGACATCCACCACAGCAGCATGAAGGGCCAGGAGGCCATGCGAAGGCAGTGGCAGCACTTGTCAGAGCCCAGAAGGGCCTGGTGGGGAAGACAGCAGGCAGTCACTTATTGCTCATTAATATTATGTACTGCAGCTGGGGGACCCCCATTTCAAAGGGAGCTCAGAGCAGCCTCAGCAGCAGTTAATGGCTCAACAACTTTTTAAACAGCTGGGGAGGTGATCCAGAAGCACTTGGAGATGGAGGGGGTAGTCAATTTCAAATCATCATGAAATTCCTTCATGTTTAAATAATCCCCATAGCAGAAGTAGACAGAGGGTCTATAAAAAGCCATTTTCACACTCATCTCTTTCTTATGACAAGCATTTCTTATAAGAAGGAAGCTTCAGCTTATACCTACAGGGGTCTACAAGAAGAAAAAGCGGCTGTTTGAGAAGAGATAATAATCCTATGCTTCTCTCCACAGTGTGGTTTCATGAGAAAACTCACAATTTTATAACTGGCACATTTGATGTTGGAAAAATGGGACATGCAGAGGGTAAAACTAGTAATCTTGTTCATGTGGGTTTCCAGGCCACCAGGAAGCCAGGAAGCTAGCAATGGTTTGATCAAAGTGGAAGAAACTTCGGAAGCCCGGATAAAAACACATGAAGTGAGGCTGAATACATCCATGTTGCCTGGCCATTCACATTGCTCTTTGTGATTTTTGTTTGACCAAACCTAGACACTAGGATTCGAATTATGATATTGAACTTGAGATATATTTCCAGGTCATTAGCCCTCTGCCCACCACCCCTACACCAATCTTGGCATCCGTGTTATGGGGCATGTTCTTTCTACCCTGGACATTGTTGGCTAAAGTGGAAGTGGACACTTCAACTTAACCGGGGCTGGAACTGGGAATCAGACAGAGCCTGTAAGGTACTTTCTAAATGTAGCAGAGACTGCAAGTAACCTAAGGAGCCAAGGGCTGGCTGTATTTCACCATGTGGACCAGAGAAAACTGGTGTTCAGAAAGGAGGAACACTGAAGTAGATATTTAAAGTAGGAAAATATGTATGAGATGCAGAGTTCCTAAGGCTTCTCAATTCCTTATTTTATTTAGTACCTTCTTGAATGGGGGGGGGGATGTCGAAAGCTTGATTTTAGGTTTTGTGATAAATTCTTCATTA